GGGTTGTTCAGCAGCACCGGGCCGATGCTGGCCGCTCTCCCCGCAGAGATGGAGCTCTTCAGCCCAGCCTGCGTCTCCAAGAAGGCCCTGCTGCGCTCGCTGGGCCGTCCCGGCATCATTCAGGAGCTGAATTTGGACGAGAACAACCACTCTGCCCCAGCAGCGCTGCCTGTACCCCTGTACCGCTGCCACCAGCCCCTCAGCCACTTCATCCCCCAGGTATGGCACCACCGACACGGGGACAGCACCACGTGCCACCGGTGTGACCCCTCTGGGGTCCTGCCACGACGCCTGCGTGGCACCGGGTGCTCTGTCAGGACACGTTGAGGGGCGGCTGTGCCGGTGTCGCAGGCCCTCCCATGCCACTCTCCCTCCACTCTTCAGCAGGTTCCGACTCGCTGATGCTGTCCCCAGCATCCACCCGGTGCTGCAGCTGCAGGATCATAGAATCATAGAATGTTTTGGGTTGGAAGGGACCCCTAGAGGTCATCTAGTCCAACCCCCCAGCAGGAGCAGGGACACCGCTAACTAGATCAGGCTGCTCAGAGCCCCGTCCAACCTGGCCTTGAATGTTTCCAGGGATGGGGCCTCCACCACCTCTCTGGGCAACCTGTTCCAGTGTTTCACCACCCTCATTGTAAAGAACTTCTTCCTTATATCTAGTCTAAACCTACCCTGGTTTAGTTTAAAACCATTACCCCTTGTCCTGTCACAGCTGGCCCTACTAAAAAGATTTTCCCCATCTTTCCTATAGGCCCCCTTTAGGTACTGAAAGGCCGCAATCAGGTCTCCCCGCAGCCTTCTCTTCTCCAGGCTGAACAAGCCCAACTCCCTCAGCCTGTCCTCATAGGAGAGGTGCTCCAGCCCTCAGATCATTTTTGTGGCCCTCCTCTGGACCCGCTCCAACACTTCCATGTCCTTCTTGTGCTGAGGGCTCCAGAGCTGGACGCAGTACTCCAGGTGAGGTCTCACCAGAGAGAGCAGAGGGGCACAATCCCCTCCCTCGATGCTGGCCACGCTTCTCCCGATGCAGCCCAGAGTAGGGTTGGCTTCTGGGCTGCCAGCGCCCACGGCCGGCTCATGTCCAGCTTTTCATCCACCAGCACCCCAGGTGCGCCGATGGCACGAGCTGCTCCTCGTACTGCCTGGGTCGCTGGGTGACCTGCAGCTGGTCAAGGTAACGGTTGGTTCTATCCCTTGGGGTCTTGTTGGGAGCCTGCCCCTGCCTCACCTGGTCTTTTGGGCGTGCTGTTCCCCCAGCCAAGCTGCCTGCAGGTCCCCCGCCATCCCCGGCACTGCCAGAGGTGGCTGTGCCACGTGGCACTGCCGTGGCTGCAGTATCTCAGTGCCCTTGTGACCTCCAGGACCCCAAATCCGGCCTGTTTGCCGAACAGCACCAAACTGAAAATCACCCCCAGCAGCCGAACCATGCTCCCCCGGGCCCACCAGAAGACTGTGCCGGGTAGGGAGCCAGCACAGCGGCAGGACAGCAATGGCTGCCCCAGTAGTCACGCCTAACTGGGAAGCCTGCCCTGGGCACAACTGGGCGACCCTGGGGTACTGGTGGGGCAACCTCCATCTCTGGTTCTTCTCAGCAGCGAGCAGCTGAGGCCAAGCTGTGGCACAAGATGGCAAAGCAGCCGCTGGGGCACCGGATTCGGGGTGCTCCCTCCTCCCCGCACGCAAGTCATGCGATTCCCTCTCACCTCAGAGGTTAACCACCGGCCCCGGCACGGGCACCCCGAGCTCAGTGGCTGCTTTTCCTCTGCCGCAGGTGACACCAAACCATCCCACGGGGAAGCGAAGAGCCGGGGCCAAAGCCCTTCTGCCTCCTCTGCACTCCTGGCTGCTCCCCAGGGGGGGAGCCGGCGGCTGCGGCACTGGGAGCCCAGTTTTGGCTCCCCCATCACCCCCCACAGGGACAGGCCACCCCCCCCAATATTTCCCAGGTTCAACAAAACACTGTTCACCCCATTTTTAGTGGTTTTTTTTAGGAAATAAAAGGCAATGGTGGGCTTGGCAGCCGAAAACCAGTGCTGTGTCCCCCCTGCTGCTGCCAGGGCCCTGCTGAG